AGGCGATGATGCGGGAGGGCGTCATCAGCGAGTACTACGTCGCCTACTCCAGAAAGGCCGGTCAGCCAAAGGTAATCGGAGAAAGGGGGTTATCATTTAAGCATTTTGACTAAACTGATTACCTTTTCTTCTGCAGAAGTACGTCCAGGACAACATGAAGCTGTGCTCGCAAAAGATCTTCAGCACGCTGATGGAGGAGAACGGGCACATCTACGTCTGCGGCGACGTCTCCATGGCGGAGGACGTCAACAAGACGCTCAAGGCGATCATGCTGGAGAACGGCGTTCAGGATGTGGACATGGCCATCTACTCGCTCAAGGTTAGTCGTGTCAGATAACCCTTTTAATAAGTTTGACTAAGCTAACTCTCTCTTAAACTTTTATAGAAAAGCCAACGCTACCACGAGGACATCTTCGGCATCACCCTACGAACGGCAGAGGTGACAAACAAGGGCCGTAGCGACGCACTGGTGAAGCGGACGCTCTCAAACACCTAATCGTTCCCGCTTGATAAACAAACAAAGAGGTCATGAAGATTTTGGCTTTAACCTTCTGAAACCGAATCAATTCTTCTATCAATATAAATATAACTACTGTTGTCACTGGCTTTTTATTTACTACTACTGTGCTGTTGTTTGCTGTTGTTTTGCTTTCTTTCCGCTTTAGCTTTCTTTCTGCTCTTCTCTTTTTGCAATATAACCCCTAACACAATTTTACTAACTTCTGTGAATTGACTGCTCCTGTTATAAATATTACTATGCTTCCTCCTTTTGTGAATTTTATTAATATGCTAACAAACAAATTAACTACCAACAACTAATATAAATAAAACAGCAATGTTGTTACTTTTTTGACTAATCACAAATTAGTGTCATCGAATGAAGTGTACAGTTGGGTCAGTGATATACTTTGTAGCAAAGTGTAAAACAGAACTGTAAAACTCAGCAGCTAAAAAGCAATGCAAATGGAATCTCATCATTTTGAAGATTAAAATTTTTGTCAGCTTGGACACACGAATCAGCTTATAACTTCAAGTGGACCAGTTACAATTCACCAATGGACAGTGACAATGGTGAAGGTAAACTAGAGAGCATATAGCAAATAAATATAAAAAGTCGTGAAAGTTCATATTTAAAAATCTGCACCGAGATGCAGCTTTTAGAAATCAGGACTTGATCAATGAATGGTTTTCACCAATAACAAAAATAGCTGCCAATGACGGCTCAGCACTAGAAATGAAAAAGCAATGAAAATATATCACAGTTGGCAAAGTTTTGGAAATCGCTTTAATTCTCTAATGCACTTTGGTGCTGTGAAATGTGGGTCGATTGAATTAGCATATTTTACAAATCAGTCAAAAGTAGTCTAGAGAGCAGGAGATGAAAGAAAAAAGTAAAGTCTCCTGACGATTCTGACTGATAAATAATGAAAAATGTAAAGATGAAGATTGGAGTGAGAGTCAGATGATGATTTCATTCATAGCAGATAGGTAGTAGCAGTAGTCACAGAAGAGACGCTGGTTAGATCATACATTTTTGAATGGTAAATAAACGGGCGCAGCAATCTATATAACAGCCAAAAAGATGCGAACAAGTGAGACAACATAAATACATAAACAGTGAGAAACACAAACGCAGATAAATCTCCACTGATTAGTGGAGACTTACCCTTTGAATCCTTGGTGCAGCCTTGTGCTATCATCATCTTTTCTTGAAGCCGTACTTCTTCCGCTCGTAGAACAGATCCGTCTTTGCCGAGCCCAGATTGACAATCTTCGGACAGCCGTCGCGGTCCTTCTCCAGAATGGTGCACTCCTTGCAGTAGTAGGCGTCACTGACACCGGGCCCGCCGCAAACGACACACCGGCCCTGGTAGCTGCCGTAGTTGCACTCGTCGCAGATTCGCACCAACGTCGACGGTCGCACCAGCGAGTCGCAGATGACGCACTTGCCGTCGCATTTCTCGCAGAGGCGGCCGATGGCGATGCCCGCTTGCTTCCGGCAGAAGATCAGATCAGGGTGGTGCTTGGCCATTAGGCTCGACAGCTGATGATAACGGGAGAAGAAGCAGTTTTCCGGTTCGAGGAGTAAACCCGAAAATGGAAGCGACTTTGGAAGATTTCGAGATCACAACACACCAGTGTGTGTTTTGATTGTTAGCTAGCAGGCGCCTCTTCGCAAAGGACGTGTTGGGAAAAGTCGCCGAAAAGACAAGTGCACAAAATGCTTTGATTTCATGCCACTTCTCGAACAGTTATTTGAATCTCCCCTCGGTGTCAGTGATTTGAAATTCGTCAAAACAATTTGTCTGGTCATGATAAAGAGTTGATTTGTTAACAGTGAGTCAGGTAATGATGATGATCTTGATTGATTGTTGAGCCAAATTAAGCAACCCAAGGCCAGGTGGGCAATCCGCCATTGTTGATGTTGTCAACAGCAAGATAGGTTGATTTGCAGTTAGTCGTAATCTCTTTTTGCAAATTACCACATTTGAAGCATAATCTGATGCAAATATCAAAATATTTTTTACAACAAAAATTCTACGATTACATCTCGCCCGACCAACATTTTTGCGTGTTTGGTTTGCCTATCATTAAACGCTTGCGGTGCGATGATTGACGATGATAGTCTTCTGCGAAATGTGGTAAGAGTAGGCGTAAAAAGGTAACCGTCACATCGGTATAAATAACAACTGCGAACCTAGTTTGTCACTCTTGTGCTAACTTTTTTTGCAACAGTAAAGTTAACATTTGTACTTTTGTTTAACATGTTAGCGGCACGGTCCCAAAATATTGGGACATTCTTTCTGCNAAAAAGGTAACCGTCACATCGGTATAAATAACAACTGCGAACCTAGTTTGTCACTCTTGTGCTAACTTTTTTTTGCAACAGTAAAGTTAACATTTGTGCTTTTGTTTAACATGTTAGCGGCACGGTTCCAAGATATTGGGACATTCTTTCTACTGGCGGCAGTTTCCTTTGCTGCAGACGGTAAAAACTTTTCATAATTTTTAACTTACCTTGCTTACCTTTTTTACCTTTACTTAGATATTGACTTAAAATGCAATTTTTCAACAAAGCAATGCGACTGGACCGGCATCAAAGTGGGCTTCTTTTGGATGGAACCAAAAGCAAACAGCCTCGATCTGCGTGACCTTCCTCTTGGAATATCTGGTAACTGTGTTTTTTCTGGTTATAAAAACATCTGTTTTTATAAAAAAAAATTTCGTTTCTCAACAGTAAACTCACTGGGCGCCTATCTGGCTGGCAATTTGCCGGCCAGTATGATGACCTCGCCGCTGGTCGGCCCGATGCCCAGCTCAGAAAGCTGCTTCACCTTCTACTACTACCTGGTCATTGACCAGGTGGAAAAGAGCGGTCTCAACTTGAGCATCGTCGATGAGCATGGCAACAGCACGGAAATCTGGTACTCA